TGACACTTTGCAAAGTTACGATTGGAATTAAAAGATCTTTAAATAAATAAATAAATAAACTTAAAAAAAAATACTTGTAAAAATAAATAAACTCACCTTTCTTTCATTAACATTGTCCCAACTCTAAAATATCTTCCTATATCACTTAACATTTCAAGAGCTGATATTTTACCAAACCATTCCAAATTATTCATAACCGAAAAATTATCAACTTCACTATCCAATATGAATCCACGTCTTGATGCGTACATAAGTCCATTATTAAATATACGACGTAATTGCTGGTTTAAAGCGGTTATATTATGTTCTATCATAGTTAATGACATAGGTTGACGCTCTGTATTACGCCCTGATGGATCTCCTATTAAGCCTGTGGCACCACCTATCTGATAATTTTAATTTGATAATTCGATCATTATACATCAAATATTATAAATTCATTATTTTGAAAATATAACAAACCAAAGCAATTGTACGGTGGCCGATAATATTGAAATGGAATAATCCCATTAACGTTAATAAATTTCCTAAATGTAAACTAGGTGCTGTAGGATCTATACCACAATATATCGTTGTTTGTTTTTTTACGTGGTTAATAATATCAGGACTTTAAAATAATAATAATAACGATGACAATTTTTTTTCTAAGTAATTGGATTGCGTAATTTACTAAACATTAAACCAATTTTGCTCAAAATCTGATAAAAACCTCGTCAATTCGTTGACCATTCCACGTTTTTCCAACTCTAAAATCACATTACGTTTAGGAACATCTATATTATTATTACTAGTGATATATCTTAATATACGGAATGGCGACGTTACTGGCCATATTGATGCCCTATTTTTGATGGATTTAAAATAGAATGGCGTGTTCAATTTATGAAGACGAAATCGATATCGATAGCTCATTAAAAATTGGAGATATGTTACACTGATTAGTATTTATGTAGATTCTGCTTTTAAGCCACATGGTTTCTTTCGACTATGCAACCTATTACTATGTAAATCACACAAACTATGTTTATCCAACTTACTCTTTTCTCGATATAGTGAAGATGAAGAATTTTGAATTACGGAACTATTAAAATTCAACTCGATATAATGAAGCATATATAATATTCTCTCGATATAAGCTATTATAAAGATTTTTTTTTTTTAAGCCCAATGACTTTATTATAACGAAAGTGAGTTGTATGATCAAAAACAGTATAATTGATTATCCTACACCAGTAAAAACAAGTGGCCAAGTTTGCCATTAACCATCCGACTTACGAAACGATGCATTTGCTAAACGATCATGTCGACGAAGAGTGGATTGAATGT